GGCATTTCAGTTCTCTGTGTCTCAGTCTCCTGTTTGGGAATTAAGAAACATATTATCATCGCATTTGACTGGTATAAATATTAAGTAAGATGTTCAGAAATTGTGCCCAGCATGCCACAGAAGCTCAGTAAGTACTTGTTGCATTGTAGAGGCTAAATATAGAGAAAGGGCAAGTCTAATAGTAGCTACTATTTACTGAGCACTGTTCTAATTCCATGAAAGGATGCTAATATTAATCTCACCATATAGAATATGAGGAAATTGATGAATGAAAGGAACTTACGGCTATGTTCACTCAGCTGGAAATCCAGAAATTAGTGGAAATGGGATTTGAACTCAAAGATCCAGGTATTCTAGTGTTTGTAGGTATCAGGCTATACTACCTCATACCACAAAGGAACTTTCTCATCTATAACTGTATGGGTTGAACTTCTGCTCTTGGCTTTACCAGATATGTCACTGGTAGCACTGAGATACAAGACTTTATCTGGGGCTTGTGTGAGGGGCAATGGTTAAGTCTCTGCTTGGAATGTCCACATCCCATATAGGAGTCCCTGAGTTTAAGTTATGCTTCTGCTCCTGATACATCACAAATGGACTAAGAAACAATATGAGAGACATCTTTTAAAAAGATTATTTTACTACTGCAGCATGGCAGGTAAAGCTGCTGCATGGGATGCTGGTATCCCATGTGAGTGCCAGTTCATGTCCCTGCTGCTCTACTTCCCATCTGCCTCCCTGATAATGGTCTGGGAAAAGTAGAGGAATATGGCTCAAATGCTTGGGTCCCTGGTACACATGTGGAAGACTTGGCTCCTGGCTTCGGCCTGGCTCAACCCTGGCCATTATGGCCATCTGGGGAGTGAAACAGTGGATGGAAGATCTCTATCTAACTCTGATTTTCAAATAAATAAATACATCTTTAAAAACAAGACATTCAGGGGCCATCAAAGAAGGAAGTACCTTTCTCTGAAAGGAGGAAAGAAATTCCATTTTGATTATGGCCTTGTCTAAATAATGTCAGAGCTTGTGGACTCAAGAGACTTCAATTGCCTTGGAAGCTCATGACAAGAGCCTCGAGTGATCACTGACATCATAAATAAGAGTGTCAAGTGTTAAATCAACAACAGGAGTCACTGTGCACTTAATTCCCCATGTAGGACCTCTGTCCTTAATGTGTTGTACTATGAGAATTAACAGTAAAATTAGTCTTCAAACAGTACTTTATACTTTGTGTGTCTATGTGGGTATAAACTGTTGAAATGTTTACTTAGTATAGGGTTGCTGTTTTGTATATAAAGATAATTAAAAATGAATCTTAATTTAGAATGGGATGGGAGAGGGAGTAGGAGGTGGGATGGTTTGGGGGTGGGAGGGCAGTTAATCTAAAAGTTGTACTTACGAAAGTTATATTTATTAAATAAAAGATTTCTATTAAAAATAAAGAAAATTGATCAATATAAAAACTATAGCATCAAGGTAAGAGCACTTCAGTAAAATAATTACTGAAAAATATGTAGGTAATTAAGTGCTACATTCCTTTTCTTATAGGAGGTACATGTTGACTTATAGTGACCAAGACACATACCTGTATACATGTGTGAAGCACTCTATTTGTCCTGTATTTCAGGAGTGGGAATTTTCCCCACTGGTCAAGGAAATTTAGATAGCTGAAAACTCTTGACTTAGTTGCCTCACAGATATTCCAGATTTGGCAAGTACAATTCTAGGGTTCAACATCCCCTAACATCTAAACTTGATGTTCCTCTTGTAGTATACATTTGTGGTGATATGCTTACCTGAATAATGGGCCCTCTCTAAAGATGTCATTGGGGCTGGCATTGAGGGGTAAAGCCAAAGCCTGCAATACCAGCATCCCATATGGACACTGGTTTGTGTTCCAACTGCTCCACTTCTGATCCAGCTCTCTGCTAATGGCCTGGAAAACCTTCGGAGGGTGGCCCAAGTGCTTGCCCCCTTGCACCCATGTGTGAGACCCAGAAGAAGTTCCTGGCTTCAGCCTAGCCCAGTCTTGGCCATTGCAGCCATCTGGGAAGTGAAACACCAAATGGAAGATATCTTTGTGTGTGTGTGTGTGTGTGTGTGTGTGTCCCTCTCTCTGTAAATCCGACTTTGAAACAAATAAATAGGGGCTGGCACTGTGGAGCAGTATGTTGGGCCTCCACCTGTGGTGCTGACATCCCATACGCCATCTGGTTTGAGTCCCAGCTGCTCCTCTTCCAATCCAGCTGACGGTCTAGGAAAGCAGTGAAAGACGCCTCAAGTGCATGGACTCCTGCACCCATGTGAAAGGCCTAGAGGGAGCTCCTGGCTTCAGCCTGGCCCGGTCTGGCAGTTGTAGCTATTTGGGGAGTGAACCAGTGGATAGATCTCTCTCTCTCTCTCTCTGTAATAAAAAATAAAAATAAAAAAGATGTCCATCCTACTCCCCACACCTGTGAATGCACTACTTCACATTGCAAAGGAGATGTCACAGGTATGGTTAACAAAGATTTTGATATGGGTTGAGTTGTGCTCTTCCAAAATTCATATGACGAAACTCTAACTCCCAGTACCTAAAAACATGACTATTTGGAGATAGGGGCTTCAAAGAGGTGATCAAGTTAAAACAGGGTCCTTAGAGCATATCCTCATCCAACGATTCTGAGAAAAAATACAACAGAGACACATGGAAAGGGAAGACCAAATGAAGACACAGGAGAAAACAGCCATCTACAAGCCCAGGAGGCCACGGAAAAAAATCAGTCCAGCTGACACTTTCATCTTGGACTTCCAGTTTCTTCCAGAACTGTAAAGAAATAATTGCTGTTGTTAAAGCCACTCAATCTGTGGTATTTTATTACAGCAGCCTGAGAAAATGCATACAGATTCTAATGTGGGTAGAGTGTCCGGGATTATCAGGGGATTCAGTGTAATGACAAGGGTCTTATATAGAGAAGTTGTGGTGAGAGTGAAGGAGGACATGCAACATGGGGTAGAAGTCACTAAAAGAAGGAGAGAAGGTGTTATGAAAAGAGGAAGTGGGTGACCTTTGGAAGCTGGGGAAAGCAAGGAAATAGATTCCCTGTTAGATCCTCCAGAAGGAACACAGTCCTGCCAACACCTTGGTTTTAGCTCATTGAGACTGAGTTCAGACTTTTGAACTCCAGAACTGTAAGGTAACAAATTTGTATAGTTTTAAGCCACCAGATAGATGCCTGATAACTCGCTACAGCAGGAAATCACAGCAGGGAATTCCATCCCCGTCCTACTATGACCCAAACTTATCCATTCTACTCCAGGCCTTGCTTCTCCTGCCCCATCTTTATAAATTTACTATTCTGGGTCAGGCACTGAGGCATAGCAGGTAAAGCCGCAGCCTGCAGAGCCATTATCCCAAATGGGTGCCAGTTCGAGTCCCAGCTGCTACACTTCCAATCCAGCTCTCTGCTTTGGCCTGGGAACACAGTAGAAGATGGCCCAAGGCCTTGGGCCCCTGCACCCTCATAGGAGACCCAGAAGAAGCTCCTGGCTCCTGGCTTCGGATCGGTGCAGCTCCAACCACTGCAGTCAATTGGGGAGTAAACCAGCAGATGGAAGACCTCTCTCTCTCTCTTTCTGCCTCTCCTTCTCTCTGCCTCTCCTTCTCTCTGTGTAACTCTGACTTTCAAATAAATAAATCTTTTTAAAAATTTTTTGTAAATAAATGTATACTTCCTTTGAATCCCATCTGCATCACAAGAACAGCCTCTAGACTTATGGCCCTGCTTCCACTCCCTTTCACCCTCCAACTATTCTACTCCCTTCAGCCAAAATGATTTCTGTTAACTTCCAATTTGACCAGGTTTCTAACCTTCTTAACTTAATTTATCTTATAACTGTGTCTCACCAGTTATAAGACAAATACATAGGGAGGTCTCCACGCTCTCTCTTGTGCCTCTTTCTCCAGCCTGGGCCACATGAGCCCTCTCCTGACACTCTTGCCTATGTGCCCTATTTATATCCAGGATCTTGTGTACCCCTCTCTCCAGGCAGGGCATCACAGTCCCCTTTTTTTCTACTCATAAGTAGCACTTTGAGCACACTGTGCTAGCTCTCACTTCCCTTTCTCCTCTAGACAATTCCAACTTATGTCTCAAAACTCATCTGAGCCACCACCTCCTCCAGAATGCTGTCCTTGAATATCTTCCACCCATATCACAGTTGGTGCAGTTACCCAGCCTCTGTGCTCCTGTAGTGTGGTGGAATGAGAATGCCGCACCAGGATGGCACTGGCAAGCAAGCGTCAGTTACTCAGGAAATGGCAGCAGAACCCCCCATCTGGCAAAGGAGCCTGCCTGGCAACAGGCAGTGATTGGTTGCAGCATAAATCGCCCCTTGACCGGATAGGCTGCCTCAGCTATATAAGCTACTGCACCAACCGAAATAAAGGAGTTTACAAGCTGCTTGCCTCTAGCCCACTTTTACCCGACTCAATCAGTGTCTGTCGTGACTCTGCACCTCTTGCCCCCACTGCACTTCTCCTCTCAGAATGAATCCACAGCAATACTGTAGCACACTTTGTTTATCTCTGGCTATGCTATAGATAGCCCTTCAAGGTAACTAGGTATGTAGGTGCCTCATTCTCCTTTAGACTGTGTTCTTCCAAGCTAGGAGCCCGTCTTTCATGCCTCCCCAGTGTCCAATACAGCACCTGATACTGAAGAGATTAACTGTTGAGTGAAACTTTGAGGAAAAAGATAGAACATCAACTACTTATTCACACAATAAATACTTCTTGTGTTGTGCAAACATCATAGAGTGCATTTTCACAAATCTAGATGGTGGAGATCAGTCAATATGGTTGTTAGATGTAATCAAGGCAAACATGAGATGTGTGAGCCTGCTGCCTTTGTTACATGGCATACTTTTATAGTGCACTTTTAAATAAGAAGTACTCTCCAAAATAATGACAATAATTTAAAATAATGATAGAAAGTTCAATACAGCAAACACATAAGTCCATTTATAATTATTTATTAGCATGACCAAGGATTATGGATTGTTTATAATTGTAAGGGCTATACTTTAATACAACTGGCAGTGCAGAAGGTTTGTCCACATCAGCAGCTCCACAAAAACATGGATACTGCATTTTATTGTGAAGTTATAGTATCACAAGGTTACAGGAACTTTTCAGCTCCCTTATAACCTTAGAGGACCACTGTGGGATACATATGCAGCCCATTGTGTGTGCTTGAATATATTGGGTAGTCACAATCAGTAAATTACCAAGGGATATTCAAATATCTGTAATATTTGTCTTCCATTTAGAATTTCAGTCACAGGTTGAGTCATTGTTTAAATGACCAACAGGTGGTACTGACCAAAAGTCTTCAAACAACCAGCTTCATGGACTGGGAGAGGGATCTATACCAAGAAAAAAAAAAGGCAGGAAGGATCGGGATAAGTTGGAGTTTCCTAGGACTAGGTAATGGAAACACAAACAAGAATGTCAAACCAGAAGCATAAGGTTTTCCCCAAGGCAATGGAGGGTCTTCAATGGCTTGATCAGGACAGGAGCATGCCTTTTGCAAGAAGACACACAAGTGCCTCCCTCTTCAGAGCTTCCAAAGGTGCACCAAATTTCCAACCTGTATTGAAAATAACATAAGGAAGAGGCCATGTACAGTTTCAGGAGGCAGGAGAAAACATACCAAATTATATTAAATGAGTCACAGTGGTTAAGGAAGGGTTTTCTTCATGAGGCATTCAGTTCCTAATAACTTTATGTAATCCAAATCCAGAAGCCCATTGCACCATGACTAATACAGGATATACATTGTTTCCTTTCAAGGTCAACTTTTGCTCAAGAAAATGAGAAATGGTTCTCTTCCTTGACCCCATCTGATAAAGCAGAAACCATAGCAGATTTATATAAATGAAAATAAGGGTGAGTCAGAGCACTTTATCCTATAAATAACAAAAATGAATTAAGGTTGATTTGTCTCCAGGCAACTTATATAAATACAGTCATATAACCTGATTTTAGTATATAGGATAGATAATCAAGAGATTCACTTAAAATTATTCATGGCTGTCTCTTCACTGTTCTAATAGATTTTAAAAGCTGCTTCCTGGCCAGCCATTGCCTTATAGAACTTCCCTGATGAAGATCATGGCCCCAGCTATTTCTTCTGCCAAGATTCAAATGCTTACTATTGGACCTCTCAAAGTAGATTTAGTTTAAGGAGTTTGACATCTATCAAAAAAAAAGTGCATGCATATTTTAAAGATTTTCCTTTGAAATTAAATATATTTAAATATATAGATATATTAGTAAATAAATGGCACTATAAAAAATGAATGTGCAGTACAAAGTAAAATCTTCTAAAAATGAAACCCAAAGCATGTGTACACATAAATAATCAATAGATACTAGATAACATAATGGATGCATTTTAGGTATATTACTCACAGAGCATAGGCTAGAATGAATGAATTAGATATTCAAATCACACAGAAAACTAATTTAGGATAAAATATAACAAAGACAATTAATTCAGGGGCAGGCATTGTGCATAGCAGTTAAGATTCCACTTGGGACGCTCACATTCCATAACTGAGGGCCAAGGTTTAAGCTTGGCTCCGCTCCAGATTCTAAGAGTAAAACAAATAGCTTCCAGATGAGGTTGTGAAGATGCACTGCATGTGTCTTCTGAAGTGGACTGCAAGGCCAAATGACAGCTGTGATGAGGGTCATCTTCCAGAGCCGGACCACACAGGCATTCCTGTCTTTACTGCACTACTTCATTGTGTGTAGGACTTAACTCCTCTGTGCTCAATTGCTTTCTCTACAAAATGGAAATAATAATAATGTTGTCACCTCACAGGATGGTTGTAATGATTAAATGAGATAATCCAGCAAAACCTTGTCACAGTACCCAGCATATAGTAAGCACTTATAAAATACCAGTTATTGTTGTTGATATTGCTGCTATCTGCCTACTTTTAAATTTATTTTTGCATTCTGATTAAGGCTGATTTTGATATCCTTCTAAAAGATTTTTTTGTAAGTTAGAAAATCTGAGTTCTAACCCAGGCTCCACCACTCACCAGATACGTGGCCTGGGACAAGTACCTTGAACTACTCAATTATGAAACAGAAATAATCATTTGCCTGTACCCTATCGATCCCCATGGCTCAAACCAGATAAGGCTGCACTGCTTTCTTTTGCCCGCTTTGCTTCTTTGATGTGCAGCATTGTTCTCACATAAAAATCTGATGGTGAGGGTGATGACGACTTTGGGATTGAGAGTTCCATTAAATGTAAAGAATACAGTACTCAGGTCTGTGTAGGCCAATAAAAAACTGCACTCTCGTCTGTCACACCCCTGCCCTCAACTTCATGATGACATTCCTCTCAATAAATAGGGAGACGGGGGGGCAGACAAAAAGAGAGATGGGGATTAATGTCAGACCCAACTAGGCTTTCCTGATCTATGATTAGTAGTAGTCATTTTAATTGCTATTACTATATTATCACTCTAAATATAAAAGGTCTTTTAAAAACTTTTTTTTAAAGAGAAAATGGCAAGTTAAATACTTGGCTAGAGCTTGGATATAACATAACCTACCACATTTTGTTTAAAGATAGCAATTTGCATATTCAGACATACTTGTATTAAAAAACAGAGCATGGAATTATATAAACAGAAAGATTATATCTACATCTAGATCACAGAGAAAAATTTCAGAAAATAAACTGCACTTTGTAATTTCTGCACTAAATGTGTATTTTAACCAGAATAAATAAAACGTCAGTTAAATATTCTAAAATAAATTATGCTATTGGCAATATAATTGACAAGAGGGAACTATGATGGTGAGTTCATTTTCAAAATATTGTGAAAAAGTGCTGCTTTTCTGAGATTTTGGGAAAAAAACAGAAATGATGAGACTTACTTATTAGGTGGGGCTATTTGACTTTATATCTCTAGGTTTAGCTCTTTTCAGAAATTTGGTCCAAAGATAATAAATCACTGATCTGTTCTAGTTTTACAAAGCTCATTTTCATTAAGAGTTTCTAATAAAAGAATTACATTCCTTGCTAAGTCAGGCCTTGGTAAGATTGTGATAAAATATGCTATAACTATTACAGGGCCACAATGGTGCAAAGTCATGTGTAATGCAGGGCTTTAAAAATTCAAGTGCATGTCATCCTCAAGATCTGTTATTTTATAGATAAAGCCAAAGTGATCAATTAAACACAAACTGAAAATTAATACAGCAGCACTGTTGTTATGCATCTAGTGAAATGTATTTTTAGAATCACTTTTAGCAGTAGTCTTTTAAATGCTTGTTAAACATTCTAAGTCTTCTCTGCTTTTCACAGAACTGATTCACAGTGGCGGAGTAAAGGCATTACACAGCAAAAAACTCAGTAGGTTACGTTAAAGCCGAAAGCAGGATCTTTCCCTATAAAACATGAAATTTCCAAACCTATTGAGGTCGTATATGGAACACTACAAAGATTTAAGTGCTTTAAGTTTTTTAAGTACTTCAATTAACTTCATAAAAACAGTAACTGACAGAAATATAAGGCAACGTTGGATGATTAAAATACCTGGCATGGAACACAAACCCCACTGCAGTGGCGTCACGTCAGAAAAGTCCAGACTTATTCACTTTAATGAAAGGCAAGAGGGACACACATAAACGTTCCAATTTCCCTGACTGGAAACAGCCTTTCTCCCCTGAAGAAACCAAAAAGTAAAAGTCAAAATTACTATTTACATTTGCCATTCTGAGGCTCAAGTAGAAATAAGTACTATGGCTTCCTTTTTCCTCATGTTCCTGTTTCAGTTTCCTATACCAACAACCCCTTACATAATTAGCAAAGGAAAATGCATAAGTAATCATGCATAACAAGTTACAGAACCAGATCCCAAGAAAAAGAATTAGTTGGAAGACATCACGGTTTGGGACAAATTACAGATCATCCTGTTTCAGACTGACTCACCCTGAAACCACAGTGGTGGCTTCCATCCGGAGCCTCGCTTGCTGCTGGTTCCCACTTGCCATCCTCCCAGCTTTTCTTGTGTATCAGAAAAGTATTGTTTAAAGGAATAAACATGAAGAAACTGGAAAAGGGAGAAAATGCCCAAGTTCTTATTTTTTATCTTAATTTTTGATTGAATAAATAAATCCCTGAAACAATAAATAAATCCCTTAAACAAGGTATTTTCCCCACTATCATTTGATGCAAAAAAAAAAAAAAAAGAAAGAAAGAAATCTCACACCAGCTTGCTCTTAATTACTAAGTTAACATTTGCACTTTACCCACAGGCAGAACATGCAAATTGGACCCTGCTCTGTGTTCCCCTATAAAATCATCCAGAACTGTAGCTTATGAAACCACATCAGAAATAATTTCATTTAAAAATATCTTATGCCTAAGTCATACATGAACCTTTTTTTAAAAATATATATTCCAAAATACTGTAGTCAACTCAACTCTGTCAGTGCAGTGTGGTAAATTCAGATAAACTGCCATGCTTTTTTCTCTCAATATTTGTTGAAAATCCTATAGCTTTAGTGTCGGTAGGAAATAAAAATGCAAAATGTTTTTCTACAAAAAATATTAAATTCAAAAACATTAGAAAAAATAAGGATGTTTATTATAGAGCTTTTTAAAGTTTTTGTGCTAAATTCACTGATGGATATAACCTTCAAATCACCTTCATGAAGGGGTAAAGTAAAAAAAAAAAGTAAAAAAAAAAGTCTGATATAAAATAAACCATTTATCTGAATGTAGAACTGGACCCGTAATTTTTAAGCTAGGGAAATTTTTTCTTCAAAAAAGTGACTCTCATAATTCTCTGCATTATTCTGCAGTGTTCAGATTGAAAAATACTGCATGTGACATTGAAGTTACAATTTTAAGCAATAGGCACCAGATTTAGGTTGAGTAATTGGCCATTATTTTGCTTATACAAAATGCTTTCCTCCTTCTGTAACCACTTGGAAGCTTAACAGTTTCTGAGTTAGCTTAGATACAAGGCAAAACAGGCTCATTGTGAAATTAGACATGTGTTTCCCTGTAAATGTCTCTCTGCAGAGTCATTGCATTTCCAAAGCCCTAAAGAAAACTCACGGCAGAAGGCTGCGGGTTAACCATGTGCTCTCACTGCAGAAAGTGCTCTCAGTGAATGTGCAACATGAAACCGCCAAAGGCTTTCTATATTTTAATGAAAACAGAAAGTAATATGCAACTAAGTCATAGTCACTTGGTAATTAGTATGTGGCCTCATCTAGATCCATCCTGCCGTGTCCAACCCTGAGACCCTCAGGACTTTACAGAATACAAGGGAGTTTCTTTCTCTTTTCCTTTATTTCTCTGGATGAAACAGAAAATCCTGTTTTGACAACATTGGCAAGTCATTTCCCTCACTCTGTCATCTGTCCCTTTCAACATCTTGAGATTTGGGCTCTGCTTCCCTGAGAGATACCCCATCCCTCAGCAAATGAGAACATCCTTCCCACACAGCCTGCAATGCTGCAGTTTCACATTAATGAACCAAAAGTGATTCCCTGAATTAACCCTTTCTAAAATAGTTTCTATTTTAGTATCAATGTGCCATGAGGGCGTATGAAAGCAAAAAATAAAAACTACTAGAAACCAAGGCATTTTCTGATAACTTACTGATGTACATGATCCTTTCATCTAATAAAATAGGGACAAGAAAAAGCATGATGTACAAAGAAAATAAGCCTAGAGTCTCTACAGCAGTGGTTTCTCCTCATCCATAGCAAGCAGTTCACACTCAGTCACTTGTCCCTGAGGTCCTGGTAGTGTCTTCAGTCCTGTACTCTATCATTCACTGTGTCTTGGAGCATTCAGAACTTTTTACCCTGAATTATCCCCCACAGTGTTATCCACAACAAAGGGCCATTTTAATGCTTAGGACTGCACCAGACAGGAGAAAGTCTGGAGTTCTTGTTTTAATAAACATGCTTAAAGATATAGAAAATCCATTTTAAATCAGTCATTAAAATATACAGAGAGAAACAGTACACTTTAGATAGAGGGAAAATATCTGATTTTCTTCAAGGTTGTAGTGAGTCTTTTTAAATTAACTTAAAATTAACTCAAATTAGTCATTGCAGTTACATATAGGAAGTCCTGAGCCAAAAGAAGACAAGGCAACTATGTTCAAACTTATCACAAACTGTATTTTGCTGGACTTCTCATCTCAGCAGATTTCAAATTGCCCTTTCCAAGGAATATTTGACCTTCAAATTTGGGGCCTTGATATCTCTTGATTTTCTGCATCCATCCTATGTCAGAAAACTTAGGCTACATTACACTTAATATTTCTGTTAATTGACTCTAATAAATTTTGGTTTTCAAAACCTGCATTCTGTTCATTGTGCCAGGTCTGCATTGCAGAGAAGTCTTAGCGTGGGATTCCAGCCTGGCCCCTGCAAACTGAGTTACTACAAGCAGACTTAAATTGTATTTGCTCTGAGAGAAGAGGGGGAAGAGAGCCCTCTCCCCACTGTCATCCTGAAGGCCTAGGCCGGCGATCAGCCCCTGGGAGCTGAATCTCGCGCGCTGGCCTGGGCGCTGTCCTTGGTGCTGCCGGCGCCATAGGCGCTCCAGCGCCTTACCTTCTGCCCCCGCGGAAGCTGCGGACGTCCGCCACACAGAAAGCAGATTGTAGCGCCATATCCCACTTTTGAAACAATAACTACCCCGGTCTGTACTCTTTGTCCCCTTCCCGAAGGCTTCAGGACGACCGTTTCTCAAAGTCTTTTTATTTCTTCCAGACTCAACTCCTCTGCGCTCATCTCCCGCAGCTTTAAGGCAGGGAGTGGGGGAAGGGAGAGGGAGGCTGGAGATGAGGATGGAAGAGGGGAGGGAAGAGAAGGGGAGATGAGGGTGGAGGAGGGGGAGCTGAAAGGGGGGTGAGGATGGGGGAGGGGAGGAGCAGGGGAGATGAAGAAAGGACGAGGGAAGAGGGCAAGGAAATGGTTAGAAGAAAAATTCTCGGAGGAAGGGGCTTAGAGGGCTGACGGGTTGAATGGGACTAAGTAGGGGAAAGAGGGGCCAAACAGAGCAGGAAGGAAGATGGGTACAGAAAAAGTCACAGAGAAAGGGCAAAAGAAGAGAAGGTCGTGAGGACAAGAGTGGAGAGAGCGCTAACCAGGAACCAGGGGGACCAGGGGTCCACACGGGGCTGCCGGGACGTGGACAGAAGTAGACAAAGAAAGGGCGTTGGGTGGATATTCGCACCCGGGGTCTAAAATGCAACCTCGAGGAGAAGAGAAACAGGAGAGAAGGGGATTGCGGGGCGACAAGTGTTCTGGGACCCGAAGGAGAGCTGGGGGAGGGGCCGGGACCCGGGCCGCGCAGCCCCGAGCCGGGCGCAGCGTGGCCCCCGCCGAGAGCGCGCTGAATCACCGCCGGGCCGCCGGCCCCCTTCCCCCCGGCCCGGGCCCGCAGTCCCCGCCTCCTCGGCCGCCGCCTCCACGGGGCGGGGCCCTGGCCCGGGACCAGCGCCGCGGCTATAAATGGGCTGCGGCGAGGCCGGCAGAACGCTGTGACAGCCACACACACCAAGGCCTCCAAGATGAGCTACACGTTGGACTCGCTGGGCAACCCGTCCGCCTACCGGCGGGTCACCGAGACCCGCTCCAGCTTCAGCCGCGTTAGCGGCTCCCCGTCCAGCGGCTTCCGCTCGCAGTCGTGGTCCCGCGGCTCGCCCAGCACCGTGTCCTCCTCCTACAAGCGCAGCGCGCTCGCCCCGCGCCTCACCTACAGCTCGGCCATGCTCAGCTCCGCCGAGAGCAGCCTCGACTTCAGCCAGTCCTCGTCGCTACTCAACGGCGGCGCCGGCGGCGACTACAAGCTGTCCCGCTCCAACGAGAAGGAGCAGCTGCAGGGGCTGAACGACCGCTTCGCCGGCTACATCGAGAAAGTGCACTACCTGGAGCAGCAGAACAAGGAGATCGAGGCGGAGATCCAGGCGCTGCGGCAGAAGCAGGCCTCGCACGCCCAGCTGGGCGACGCGTACGACCAGGAGATCCGCGAGCTGCGCGCCACGCTCGAGATGGTGAACCACGAGAAGGCTCAGGTGCAGCTGGACTCCGACCACCTGGAGGAAGACATCCACCGGCTCAAGGAGCGCTTCGAAGAGGAGGCACGGCTGCGCGACGACACCGAGGCAGCCATCCGCGCGCTGCGCAAAGACATCGAGGAGTCGTCGCTGGTCAAGGTGGAGCTGGACAAGAAGGTGCAGTCGCTGCAGGATGAGGTGGCCTTCCTGCGGAGCAACCACGAGGAGGAGGTAGCGGACCTGCTGGCCCAGATCCAGGCGTCGCACATCACGGTGGAGCGCAAAGACTACCTGAAGACGGACATCTCGTCGGCGCTGAAGGAGATCCGCTCCCAGCTCGAGTGCCACTCCGACCAGAACATGCATCAGGCCGAAGAGTGGTTTAAGTGCCGCTACGCCAAGCTCACCGAAGCCGCCGAGCAGAACAAGGAGGCCATCCGCTCCGCCAAGGAAGAGATCGCCGAGTACCGGCGCCAGCTGCAGTCCAAGAGCATCGAGCTCGAGTCGGTGCGTGGCACCAAGGAGTCCCTGGAGCGGCAGCTCAGCGACATCGAGGAGCGCCACAACCACGACCTCAGCAGCTACCAGGTAGGAATCGCGGCTGCGCGGCCAGCCTGCGCCAGCGCCAGCGCCGCGCGCCCCCGCCACTTGGGCGCGTGCCCGGGCGCCCTCTCCAACGCGCTCCCTAGTGGTCGCCTGTCCGTGAGCGCTCGCGGCACGCCAAGTTCAGTGTCCGCAAGCGTCCTCGCCCCTCCCCATGCCCACCCACCTTGCCTGGGCTTCCTGAGACTCAAGGCCTTTTTCCAAAACGTGCTTCTCTTCTATTGTTGCGCACTTGCGCATTTAAAGTAGGAAGTGTGTTTAGGTAGTTGATAAATAAGCGACTTTAGGATAGCGTATGCAGCAACGCATCACTTTTCCCGCAATGATTGGGAGAACTTTCAAGTTGATTTCAGCCCCCAAGGCTCAGATGGCAAGGGCCAGGCCAGCACTGAATGTCCCCACGCGTGTGTATTTCCTGCGAATCTGTCCTAGGTCCACTGGTCTCAGTACTTGATGTGCCCAGGAAATGTCTTGTTGACCTTGTTTGTTTGAGAATCCTTTAGATTGAAAGGAAAGGAAGGGAGCTGGAAGCGACAGCTACAAGGTTTGCAGAGCAGGAGGGAGAGGAGGGTGGGGGGAGGGGGGCCACAGAACAGAAGAGGGGGGTGAGGGAGAAGCCAGCAAGAGGTCTATGAAGAAAGTCGTTTTTGGAAGATGGATCTGTGGAGGTTCCTTGTATCTGTTTCAGGACACCATTCAGCAGCTGGAAAATGAGCTTCGGGGAACGAAGTGGGAAATGGCCCGCCACTTGCGAGAGTACCAGGATCTCCTCAATGTCAAGATGGCTCTGGATATCGAGATCGCAGCCTACAGGTAGGGGGCTCTCTGGGGGGGTGGCCGCGAGGCTCCCCGCACTGCTCAGGCTGTTGGGACAGAACCTTCACCAGGAAGTCAGCTCAGCCAGGTTGCACGAGTCTGGTTTTCTCCCAGAATTAAAAGGAAATTGTCCTAAAGAATTGTAAATGTGTGGGGTTTTTTTAACCACTTTATATATACAGCTTGAAAGGATGAACACTAGTCGAAACAAAACACTTGTATTTTAGAAAATATGAAATGTTTGAGAATGCTTGAAGCACAAATGGAGTTTAGGTTTTTAATATTTCATCTGGTGATTGTAGCTTTTCAAATCCATTATGCCAAGGACAAACACCAGGACATTTTTATTTCTCTGTTTATTGGTATAGCTTACTGTTGCCATTACCTGGCTGAGAATAGATACAGATTGAAATATTCAAATATAAAGTACTGTAAAGTATAGATTATATATCTAAATATGTAACACATATGTTAATCTATATATCTAGATTTAGATCATTATATATAGATATATAAACATATGTATATATGATTTCTTCATAGATAGAGATAACTTCAGTTCTGTTAACTAATGTGATCTTGCTGTTAATTAAGTTCAAAGGACAAAATCTTTGATTAATCAGTTTTTCTCTTATGAATAAGGTAATTATAATACTACTGTAACAAGACTAAATTGCACTCATGGAGCTTATTTTTCCAGAAAACAGAGTAATTACACTTAATAGACATTTTTTGATTGAAATTGAAGACCAATTTAAAACTTAATACACCCATTTTAATACCTAGCTCTAATTTGCTCTAGCATAAGTTCTGAAATACACTTAATAATTTTGTAAATTTTCTAGCTTTATTTTTGCTTTAAAAATAGTATCTATCCTGAAAGTCTAAATGTTCACAAAGTCATTAAGTCTGGTTTTTCTTTTGCTTTGAGTTGGCTGGTGGGGAGTTTTTCAGAATATTCATAAAGCACCAAATGGGTTGCTGCTGTAGAGCTAAGACCTAGTGCCTGGATGTGATTGGTGGACTCTTGGGTGTGGTTAGTGATGGCGGCAGGGACTGGCTGGCATTCAGGGACGATCTGTCTCCCTCACTGAATATGACACAATAAACCAGTGAAATGATAGCAAATGTTATACCAGCTTAATAGAATCTTTTACTTACCTGATTCTACTTAGTGAAAGGTGGCTGTGAAATACCCTTAATATAATTGAGCTCAGAAGGCCCAATGAGATGTTAATGAATGTCTTGTCTTTGTTGGTTCTCATCTTAGAAAACTCCTGGAGGGTGAAGAGACCAGATTCAGCACATTTTCAGGAAGCATCACTGGGCCACTGTATACACACCGACAGCCCTCAGTCACCATATCCAGTAAGATTCAGAAGACAAAGGTGGAAGCTCCCAAGCTCAAAGTCCAACACAAATTTGTTGAGGAGATCATAGAGGAAACCAAAGTGGAGGATGAGAAGTCAGAAATGGAAGATGCACTGACAGCCATTGCAGAGGAACTGGCCGTGTCTGTGAAGGAAGAGGAGAAGGAAGAAGAGGCAGAAGGAAAGGAAGAGGAGCAAGAAGCTGAAGAAGAAGTTGCAGCTGCCAAGAAGTCTCCAGTGAAGGCTACCACACCCGAGATTAAAGAGGAAGAAGGGGAAAAGGAAGAAGAAGGCCAGGAGGAGGAAGAAGAGGAAGAAGATGAAGGTGTTAAGTCAGACCAAGCTGAAGAGGGAGGATCAGAGAAGGAAGGCTCTAGCGAGAAAGACGAGGGTGAGCAGGAAGAAGGAGAAACCGAGGCTGAAGGTGAAGTAGAAGAAGCAGAAGCCAAGGAGGAAAAGAAAACCGAGGAGAAGAGTGAAGAAGTGGCTGCTAAAGAGGAGCCAGTGACAGAAGCCAAGGTGGGAAAGCCAGAGAAAGCCAAGTCCCCTGTGCCAAAATCACCAGTGGAAGAGGTGAAGCCAAAAGCTGAAGCCACAGCAGGGAAAGGGGAGCAGAAAGAGGAAGAAGAGAAGGTTGAGGAAGAAAAGAAAGAGGCAGCCAAGGAATCTCCAAAGGAAGAGAAGGTGGAGAAGAAGGAGGAGAAACCAAAAGATGTGCCAAAGAAGAAAGCTGAATCCCCGGTAAAAGAGGAGGCCGCAGAAGAGGCTGCCACCATCACCAAACCCACAAAGGTGAGCGTAGAGAAAGAGGCCAAAGAAGAGGAGAAGCCGCAGCAGCAGGAGAAGGAGAAGGAAAAGGAGAAAGCAGAAGAGGAGGGAGGCAGTGAGGAGGAAGGGAGCGACCAGGGGTCAAAGGAAGCCAAGAAGGAAGACATAGCTGTCAATGGGGAGGTTGAAGGGAAAGAGGAGGAAGAGCAGGAGACCAAGGAAAAGGGCAGTGGGCGAGAAGAGGAGAAAGGCGTCGTCACCAATGGGTTAGACCTGAGCCCAGCAGACGAGAAGAAGGGGGGTGACAGAAGCGAGGAGAAAGTGGTGGTGACCAAAAAGGTAGAAAAAATCACCACTGAGGGGGGCGATGGTGCTACCAAATACATCACTAAATCTGTAACCGTCACTCAAAAGGTCGAAGAGCATGAAGAGACCTTTGAGGAGAAACTAGTGTCTACTAAAAAGGTAGAAAAAGTCACTTCACACGCCATTGTAAAGGAAGTCACCCAGAGTGACTAAGATCTGAGTCCATTGCAAAAGGTTAAGCCATATGACAATTTCAAAATGCATGTGATTGACAGCTTCAAAACAGAACGGGTTCTCCCATGGGGGCTCCAGACATTGTATTTTGCTTTGTGCAATATGAGGGGACTGCATGCAAGCGCAGGGTGCTCCCTCCTCAGTCTTCGGGGGATTCAAATGCATGATATTGTACGTACCTGGGGAATTTGCCAGTTTCCTAAGCTGTTGGAAGGGGGTACTCAGGGGGGATGTCTTGAGAT